ACACACACACACACACACACACACACACACACACACACATCCTGAGCCAGCAACAGGACTGAATTTATATTGCAAATAAATATTTTTTTTTCTTAACAAAAAAGCTTCTTATCACCAAACAGAAAAAAATCAATACCTTTCTCCCCCAATTACAGGATGCTTAAGCTTAATCTATTGGGAAATGTCAACAAAGCACACATATAAAAAATAAGCACATAACAAAGATATGTGAAAAGTACAAAGGCAACAGATTAGCCCAGGGATGGCTGTCCAGGAGGCAGAGGAGGTAATGTTTGCAGTGGCCCTGTACCTGGAAAGAGCTTGTGTGGGAAGAGTGTGGCGTCAGGCCCTTGGAAGGATGGGATCTCTATGTGATCTCAGAATGCATGGGCAGAGGCTTGGGGACTGGCCGACAAGGGGCTCAGGAACATTGGGTGGTGGTTTAGGTTCCGGTTCCGGGCCTTGACTACATTGCAGCTCAGTGGTAGAAAAACGGTGCATGTGTACATGTGTATGAGAGAAAGAGAGAATTTGAATGGGTGTATAGAGATAAAGAGGAAATGGTAAGGCAAATCGGGGGAAATGTCAACAAAAAGGTTAATCTAGGTAAATGGTAGATGAATGTGCTATTTTTATTCTTGAGATTTTTTTTCTATGATTGGAACTATCTAACAAAAATTTTTGCTTTGTTCTTAATTCAGGAATCTTAGCTTTTTCTTGTTTGAGCCCCTGGTTCAATTGGGAAAAGAACAAAGGCACCAAAAGAAAATCCCAGTCTGGAGTCCCATGATGCACCAGTGTTCATTGTCGCAATTTTAACATGTTGCTGACTTCAGAAATCATCTGTGCTGGGAGTAAGAGGCTGAGGTAGGAGAGATAGCCATGCATTTGAGGCCAGTGTGGGCTTCAGTGGGATTTTATCTCAAACCCAAACGCATTTAGCTGAAACCAGTGACCCCGGTGATGCTGGCCACCACTGTTGGCTTTAAATATGGTGCTTGTTACCTTACGAGAAAGGTCACGAGGCACAACAAAACCCAGTATCAGAGCTTTATTAGGAGGAAGGGCAGGGTGAACAGAAGAGAATGACCAGGCCTGGGAAGAGACACATGCAGAGAGAGAGAGTGGGGGGGGGGGGAGCAGAAGAGAGAGGAGGAGTCTGTGACGGGCTTTTTAGGGATTTCCCTGCACATGTGCATGTGGGCTTACGGAGCTATGCCACACATGCACTGATTTCATGACCTCGTTGCACGCATTTGTGCAATCATGCAGCGCACTGGTGATGTGAGATGTAAGACCCCTTACTTAGCTACTGAACTGCGCATGTGCCGTCATACAGCTGGAGTGGCAGGATCCTACCAACCACACACAAAACCTACAGTGTCTCTGGGAGGATTGATTTAGTGCCAACTTCTGAAGCAGGTTATCTCCCAACCCTGTAAAATGAACTTGCTAAAATTTTCATATTTCCTTTGTAATTAGGATTGAAATTTCATCATTTGACTCTGGAAATGTGGATATTAAGCAAGATTGTAAGCCATCACCTTTGCGTGTATATCTTAGAACTGACTTAAAAGAAGTTTCAAAGCACTAGCTGAGGCTGCTCTCTACCAGTGGCTATGAATTAATTCTCCTGGAAAAAAAAATAATTGCTACAAGTTAATAGACTCTTTGAAGCTCAATCAAGCCAATTTTCATTGTCGAGTTGTGACGCCTTTGAACTTGGCTCATTGAATTAGCCTGTTGGATGACCACCTTGAAGATGGTTTTGTTGGTGACTCAGCAGCCTCTCTGTGGCTCGGTGTCCCACCCAATCCCATTCATCTTAGTTGTTTAATGAGCAGCTCCAGGCAAACATTCCTTTTTCATTATATAGTAGCTAAAAGAGACTTGTAACCAACCTGGTAGAAATAAACTGAAATCAAGAATCCTGACGTTGCCACTAATGAGGCCGCCAGATCTGTTTCCTCATTTGCTAAATGAGGAATTTAGGACATTTCTAGGGATCTGGTATTCGGGTTTTTTAAAGCATTGTTTTACTTTATATGAATGGGTGTTTTGCTTTTGCGTATGTTTGTGCTCTATGTTGGAGCCTGGTGCCTGAGGAGGCCAAGGGCAATAGATCTCCTTGAACTGGAGTTCCAGAAGGTTGTGGCCACCATGTGGATACTGAGAATCAAGCCCAGGGCCTTTGGAAGAGCAACAAGTGCTCTTAACCACTGAAACATCTGTCCCGCCCCTAGTACTCAGAACTTGCTTTGCAGACAGGTAAGTATTCAAATGAGGGGCCAGCGTTTGCTGCCAGCTGGTCTGCAAGATGCCCTAAAGATTTTTATTTCTGCCAGGCGGCGGCGGCGCACGCCTTTAATCCCAGCACTCAGGAGGCAGAGCCAGGTGGATCTCTCCTGAGTTCAAGGCCAGCCTGGGCTACAGAGTGAGTTCCAAGGCTACAATAGAGAAACACTGTCTCAAAAAAAAAAAAAAAAAAAAAAAGATTTTTGTTCCCTGGGTTTGAGCTGAATGAAGTCTCTGCCCACGTGAAATAAGAATACTATGTCAAAGATATCACAAAGTTGATGCACTATGACTTCTAAGACCAAGTCATAAAAGACTGGATGACTTGAACAATGCTGTCTGCTGAATCAATTATTCCAGAGCCGTCAGGCCATGGAGACCTAAAGCTCCACAGGGAAATCTACGTGGGTAAAGAGGAGTTACAGCCCCCCCTTGCTCAACCAACACTCATTTACCAATCATGGAAATGAGCTACCTGGAAAGTGAATCCTCTCTGCCCAAACTTTCAGATGATTTAGCCCCAGTTTGTGTCTTAGGCAAACCTCCCAGAATTTCCCACATCCGATGATCTAAGCTTCTCCTGCAATTATGGAAAATACAGCGTTATCACAAGGCAGCCACTGAGTTTTGCAGTGATTTGATGTATAGCAAGCTGTGATGCTTAAATCCAACTGTCAACTTGACCTCTGGGTGTGCCGGTGAGACTGAATTAAAAAGGGGAAGACTCACCCCAGATGTGGGTGGCACCATTCCGGCGGCTGGGGAGGCAGCAAACTGAATAGCAAGCAGGATTTTCCTCTTTCTGCTTCCTGACTGTGGGTACAATGTCCCAGCTGCCTCATGCTCCTAACACCATGTTTTCCCCAACATGATGGACTGCATCGTCAAGCTGTGAGCCAAAAGAAATCCTTCCTTCCATCAGGTATTTACCCTCGCAATGAGAAAAGCAACTAATATACAAGCTATAATTAAAACACGTTTAGTAACTTTTATGGCAAATTTGATGGAGCAATTTTACATCTAATGACTCCGGCGATAAAATACGGGCCTTTTATTTCGTATGCCTTTTTAAAGTGGTGTGCTCCTTGTCATCCAACTTTTATGGCATTATACAAAAGCATCAGTTAAATGGTAGATTGAAGAATTAAAAAATAATTGGCCCCACTCCACAGCAAGTTTGAAAACATCGATCAGAACGTTACAATCTTTGTGGAAAGTTGAAAGGGTTTTTAAATTATCTGGTCTAACCTCCCACTCAGTGATAAATTGTCTTTTACCGTTTCTCAGCAATAAAGTTCTGGTTCTTGGCAGGGTTGTTACAGTCAATGTTCCTAAATGTGCCTTTCTCTGAGTACTTGCCATGTAAGTGCCCATCCGGGGTATTTATGGTCTGTAGAGCAACACTGCTCAGCAGGTACTTCTAGCCGAGGCCCATAGAAGAGGAAATTGAGGCTTGGGGTAAAGCCGATATTTTTAACTAACCCAGGCCATCTGATTCCAGACTCACTGTATGGCCTCTGTCTTCTTCGTTGTATTTGTACCCAATACACTTCATTTTGTATAACAAAATGTTACATTGTCTCTGACTGCTGGAAATTACACTTATTTTTAAGAAGAAAAGGACAGAATTGAAATTGTAATATAACCCATGAAAATAGAGTATTTGGGGGCTGGAGAGATGGTTCAGTGGTTTGGAGAATCCCTAGAATCCCTAGAACCTTTGATGCTTTGGTGCTCAGGTGGAGGAAAAGACCAGAGAGCAGCCTCGAAGCCAGCTTTGGTAGCCTCAAGAACAAGATAGAAAGAAAGAATAACACTCACAATAAGTCATGTGTGGCATGAGCACGCACATGTGCGGGCACACACACACGCACACACACAAATTCCCCCCCATTTTACAAAATGTATAAAAATAGAATACCCATTTCTACAAATCCACACACCACAGAGATTGTTTGAAAATAATAAGTCTTAGAACATATCTGCCACATGCCAACTACTGGGTAGTCAGCCTCCCGAATCCAGGGGTTCCATATGCAAAGATTTGACCAACCCCAGACCCAGAACATCTTTTTAAAAATCTGCATGGATGCAGGCTGGAGAGACACTCAGTAGGTAAGAGCACTGGCTGTTCTTGCAGAGGACCTGAGTTCAGTTCCCAGCACCCACATGGTGGCTCTCAACCATTACTAACTCTAGTTCCCGGGAGTGAACACCTTCTTCTGGCCTCCAAGGGCACTACACACACAGTGCACATACATACATGTAGGCAGAACACCCATACACATAAAGATAAACAAAACTTTAAAAGCATGTATCTATAGTGAGCATGCACAGACCCTTTCTTGTCATTGTCTCTAATAGAATATAATAATTATTCATATATTATTTGCATTGTGATATTGTAAGTAATCTAGAGATGATTTTTATAGGAAAATGTGTAGAAGTTATATGCAAACACTACACCATTTTACATAAAATGCTTGAGCATCCACTGATTTTATCCTGAGGGATAACTTATTATATACATGTTCATATCCTAAAAATTAATTAGGTTAAGGAAAAGCCAAATGCTAAATTTACTCAAGTTATTTTTAAGTGACTTTTGTAGCAAAGATGGGCTAGAGACTCCTGGGACTTGGGCTAAAGCTATTGTCAGTGCCAAGTTGTTACCGGAAATAACAGAAGCGAAGAACGAGGGGCCTGGAAGGGGACCGGGAAGCCTGTTTCTTTTTCCAGATGGAGAGCAGGAGATCCAGAAAAAGTCAAGATGGCAAGCCTGAAACCGTAGGGAATAACTAACACCTGGTACCTGTCCAAGGTTCTCCAGCTCACAGCCCTGGATATAAAGGCTTACAATAATCAAGTGCTTCAGAACTACTCAACACTCCTGCGAGCAAGAGCACTCTATTTGGGCAAATAATAAACCCAGAATCTGCTTATCAGCTCTCCTAATAGAAATGACAACCAGCGAGGCAAAATGCCTCTCGATTCTCAGGATAACACAACCAGCTCACAGGGTCTCCAGTTATTACTGATGGAATCCTCCCAGCTATTACGCCTTGGAAGAATATTAATGCATGCAGCCAGCAAAGACAGATCTAAAGGACAGGGAAGGAAGGGCTGTGGCCCCGCACAATGCCGCTGGTATTCAAATTGTGCTCTCCTGAGCTGTGTCTAATATCAGCACCATTTTTAAAAAAAGAGACATATCAATTGCAGCCGAGGTTTTTATTCTACTTTCCCATTCTTCACTGCCTGGATGAGGGGGAAGGGGGGGAAGGAAAAAAGAATCACCCGTTACATTACTTTTTAATTTAATGCCCTTGAGTAAGGGCACTCGCAGCGCGGCATGATGGAGACTTCGGGAAGAGCGGTTGCATCATTTTCTCCAGGTAAAGCCTCGCTCCCCATTGTCATGGCATCTCTGCATCGAATTATTTGAATTCCAGACACATCGACAGCACACTGAAGGGCCCCTGCCAATTTTTGCAGCTTGCTTGGAAAAGAGCATCGGGAAGCCTGCATTAGTCATTTATACGACTCCCTGGTCCCCGTTGTAAATTCAGCTTGCGGGCCTGCCTCCAGGTGAGGCCCTGTGGCTTCGCGCTCTAATCCTGTAACCCTTTGCGGCCAGTTTCTTCCCATAAACACGCTCTTCAAATCTCGGCTCGTTGTCGACCTCTCCTTAGGTTGTTTTTTTGTTTTTGTTTTCTGTGCGGCCGGAGCTGTTACTATAGCCACCCCTCCTGTATTTTCACACAGATGAAATCTCGTTAAATTTGTCAATGGTGCTCCCGTGAAGCGGCTGAGGCTAGCCCATTTCGTTTAAATAAGAGATTTTCAAGTCCCCTCCACCCCCAGTTCTTCCTCCTCTCTTTGCTTCTTGTCTCCCTCCCACCCCTTCTTTCCTTCCTTTCTTCTTCCTTTCTTTTTTTTTTATTTAACTTTTATTATTTCTTTGTTTTGTTAGGGGCAGAGGCACAACTAACCCAGACTGGTCTCAAACTCACTATGTAGCTGAGGTTGGCCTTGAACTCCTGATCTTCCTGTATCCAACTCTGAAGGGCTGGAAAAAAAATTTGAGAAATTGTTTCTATGGTTTAGGACAATTTTCACAACACAAACAGGGGGAAATTGCAGATGCTGTAAATCCCAAATTTTCATCTATTTTATATGTGCACATAGACACGCACACATGCATGTCTAACTAGAAGACAATGGAGCAAAGCCAGTGGTGATTGTTCTGTTCCTTCTTTACCTTTTGCTTTATTTTCTAAAACAAGCAAGTGTTGCATTTGCAGTCAGGAAAATTAAATGCTACTTATAAAGATAACTCCCCTAGCCAGGTGGTGGTAGCCCACGCCTTTCTGAGGCCAGCCTGATCTACAAAGCGAGTTCTAGGGCAGCCAGACAAACCCTGTCTTGGAAAACAAAACAACGATAACTTCTACCAGGTATGCTTTTAGACAAAAAGGATTGTTTAAGAGTTTTAGTATCCGGTCAGGGGAAGGCTCCTACTCACAGGCCCAGCCTGGGCAGCAGAGCTGTGCAAGAGGCAATGCCTGTAAGCTGGGGTTGCAGTTTAGAGAGTTTGGTCCTGAAGGAGCGGAAATGGCTTCCTCCACCCCCTAGGGTTCTCTCCTATGGATTCAGCTGTCCAGAGAGCAGTCACAGGCATGGGAAAGAAGGACAGGAAGAAAGGAAGGAAAGAATGACTCCCTTGGCTGGCTGGCCAAGTGCGAAGGAGACACACTTCACAGCTGAACTGTCACAGACCGCGGGCAAACTTCCACCCAGTAATTCCATAGCATGCAGAGCCAGTTTCCTTTTCCCATGAGCCTTGGTGGCTGCTCCTCCTGCATCTGCATAGCCTTCCTTGTTACTCTCCGGGGTTCACTAAAATCTCCTCCTGACTCAGACCAGATCGAGATTCTTTTAACTGCAAGAGACAGGGATTTCAACATACCAAGAGCCCAAGGCCAAGGCAAATAGGTGCCCGGGTAATTTTATCTCCGCTTAAGTATATTACCTAACCCAGGCCTACCAGCAGCTCCACGGTGTTCTGTACAATGATAAAAGTTACCCATATTATTTTATTTCTTAAACACGCAGGCACAGTTACTAAACACATCACTCTCAGTGATTGAAGAGACGGCTCAGTTGTCAAGAGCCTGCACTGTTGTTACAGAGGATAGGGGTTGGGCTTCCTGCAGCCAAGCAGGACAGCTAACAAGCACCTGGGATTCTAGCTGCAGGCGGTCCCCTGACCACCACAGGCACCTGCATATATATGCACCAATCCACACGCATATACATAATTTTGTCTGCATGCACGTCTGTGCATCATGTGCATGCCTGGTGCCCACCATGGCCAAAAGAGGGTGTCAGATTCACCTGGAACTGGAATAATAAATAGATGATTGTGAGCTGCCATTGAACTCAGGTCTAGAAGAGCAGTCAGTGTTCTTAACTGTTGAGCCATCTCTCCAGCCCCACATGTTACATTTTTAAAGAGCAGCTTCAGGGTTTTAGTGTATTGTCGACGATGAATGCTGTATAAAAGTCTTTCATATGCTCTTCGGCCAATTTCCACTGTAATTTTTTTTTTATAGTGATTGGATCAGACCAGAACCTTGAACGAACTAAGCAGATGCTCTACCACTGAACTACAACCCAGTCCCCTGAGTTGTGCGTTTTTCACCTGCCGCTGGCAGGTGACCAGAGTCATTCTTTGGGCTCCGTGACATGTCTAGAGCTCTACTACTCCGGGTGTTCAGCAGTGGGGCCACCAGGCCCAGAATTGCCGAATCAGCCTTCGCCTTTAATAGCTCCTCAGTGCTCTTTATGCACTTGACAATTTGAGAAATACTGATCAGAGAGATCAAAAAGGACATGTTCTTTCAGCAACAAAAATATTTTCTTTTCAAGCAAGCGAGCGAGCGAGCGAGCGAGCGAGGGAATACTCAACTGTCATCCTACCTTCTCAGGAGGCTGAGGCTCAAAGGCCACTTGAGAGCATGGATTCTAGATCAACCTGGGCAAGATCTGTCTCAATAAGTAAGTAAATAAATATTTGCTTTAAAAATATTATTGTGCAAGGGAAAAAATACCTAGAACCAGACCTGCTGCCTAGACTTGGATGGGCTGAGTGTGAAGTAACACTTGAAATACATCTCCCTGCTCTCTTTGGAGTTTCTAGGCTGGAGACGTTGGCCATTGGTGTTAAGAATCTGTGCTCTTTAGTTCTTAAAAAGATTCATTTTAATTAAAAAATTATATGTACGTGTGTGTCTAAGTGAATGTGACTGCAGGTGCCCGTGAGGTGAGAGGTGAGTGCATGTGACTGCAGGTGCC